TTCTGGTGAAGTCTTTTGATGCACATAAGTTTTTAATTTTTAATATGTCCCACTCATCTATTTTGTCTACTTTTGTTTGTGTGGTTTTCAAAATGTTTGGTAGTCTGTGTATTCCCTGAATTAGTGCCCTCACATTTGTCCCTATTTTTTCATTGATGGCCTTTGTAATTCTGGGGTTCACATTTAGGTCTTTAATCCATGTTGAGTTGGTTATTGTGTAAGGTGTGAGGGGAAGGTCTTGATTCAGTCTTTTCATCTCACTTTCCAGTTCTGCCAGCACCATCTGTATAGCAGGCTAGTTTTTAAGTTGATCATTTTGTATGGCCTGTGATTGATGTTATAAATGTTGACAGAAAAGGGTTCCCCACCCCTGCTCTAGTGTGATCCCTTTCAGAGCAGTTGGTAGTGGTAGCTGGCATTCATATAGTTCTTCTGGTCTCAGAGTTGTGGATACTGATGTTCACATGTTGCATTCATTCTTTGTTAATTTTTACAAAAGTAACTTTAAAAAACAGTATACCTCAATTATTAAGTGACAGTAGATGCGAGCACTGCGTACACAAATCAGTAAAACACTTCAGCACCACTTAGAGCCAAAGCTCACCTCCAAAGCCAGTTGCCATCTTGGTCTTTATAGGAAGCACTTCCAGCCTTTGGAGCATAAGTTTGCCATGTTGTTGTTAAGTGCCATGCAGTCAGTTCCGACCCATAGCGACCCTGCACAGGGTTTCCGAGGCTGTAAATCTTTACAGGAGTAGAAAGCCTTATCCTTCTCCTGCGGAACAGCTGGTAGTTTCGAACTGCTGACCATGAGATTAGCAGCCTGATTCATAGCCACTACACTCCCAGAGCTCCTTCCCAGTGGAGTATTCGTGGCTGTGAAGTTATGGCCTGTTTAAAATGTCCCCACGTCCTAATGTCATCTTAAAGCTTTACTCAAGGGCCCTTTTCCATTGAGCGCCACAGTTGAGCCCCATATTGATTTTTGTGTGTGTTATGAAGTGGGGATCGACCTGTTTTTGTTTTTTCCTCACAGGTATATCTGATTGTCCAAGTACCACTTTTAGAAAGAGCATCCTTCACCTAGATTCTGGATCTTATGTGTGTGTGTTCATTTCACTGTGCAGGTGTGTAGAATGTTCTGACTCAGCAGCTAATGGGACAGTCCGCAGTGTTGGGTTAACATCAGTGACGTCGTGTCTACCTGGAGGGAGTACGCCCCTCACACTGAATTCTCCCTTCAGCCTACAGGCCATGACTTCTCAGCAGCAAGACTGAAGGGAGGAGGGATTTGGGTGTTGTCCTTTCATCAGAGACTGAGGTTTCTGAGACAAGAGCTGATCCAGTAGATCCAAACGCAGAGGAGCTTCCCAGTTGCTGGCTGTTTCCTGAAAACAGAAGAAAATGAAGACGACACAGGTGACTTTTGCTTTATTTTGGGCTTTCTTTGTTCCCTAATAGGTTGGTTGTTGTTAAGTGGTGCTGTCAAGTCGCTTCTGACCCATAGCAACCCTGTATAGGGTTTCCAAGAAGCAGCTGGTGAGCTTGAACCACCGACCTTACAGTTCAAATACAGGCTTGTAAAATACCAGTGTCGTTAATCTGAAAAGTCTGTAATTGGGGATGCAGGAGCTAGAAAGAAGAGCACTTTTGACTGGGACTTGGACATCAGGCTAAGCAGGATCAGGATTCGGGTGAGCAATGACTTTTAGCCTTGCTTAGTCTTGTAACTTCCATTAAAGAATTGGGTGGGACTATGCAAATGAAGCGTTTGTGACAGCCTGCTAGTAATGCATGAGACCCTTGTGGAGGCCGGACCATGGAAATAAGGTGTTTGAAACCCTACTGAGGGGATTGGTTCGTTTTCCTACCATACTAGGGAATTCCAGAGCAGAGTACGGAACCTCACAGGCCCCAAGAAAGAAGAACCAGGAGTGGAGTGGGTTCTAAGGACTCCAGATGTCTGTGCTGAAAACCTCCTCGACCCATTAGACAGAAGAGTTGTCACATCAGAGAAGGCACAGTGGTGGCAGAAGAGCTGCTTCAGAAGGCCGTGTGGAGGGTTCCCCAGCCCACTGAGTAAGGCAGCGACACTGGGGTGCTGACCCATGCAGTGAGAGAACTTACAGCCTTCAGGTAGAAGACTTTCTGGCTGGAGTGGGGTTGCCTCCACTTGGTGGATGTATACCCAGAAAATCACAGAACGAAAGAACTGAGTGCGTTTGGATCATGACAAACTATGGAAACCATTGAGGAGAATGAATATTCCAGAACACTTAATTGTGTTCATGTGGAACCTGTACATAGACCAAGAGGCAGTTGTTAGAACAGAACAAGGGGATACTAAATGGTTTAAAAATCAGCAAAGGTGTGTGCACCAGGGTTGTATCATTTCACCGTATTTATTCAGTCTGTATGCTGAGCAAATAATCTGAGAAACTGGATTATAAGAAGAAGAACATGGCGTCAGACTTGGAGGAAGACTCATTCACAACCTCTGATAATGCACATGATACAACCTTGCCTGCTGGAAGCGAAGAGGACTTAGAATAATTACTGATGAAGAACCAAAGACCACAGCTTCAGTGTGGGTTGCATCTCAATGTAAAGAAAACAAAAATCCTCACCACTGGACCAATAAAGAACATCTATGTAAATAGAGAAAAGGTTGAAGTTGTCAACGACTTCATTTACTTGGATCCACCATCCAACAGTGATGGCAGCAGCAGTGGAGAAATGAAAAGTGTAGAGAGCATGAGGCAGATCTGCTGCACAGCATCTCTTCAAAGTGTTCAAGAGCAAAGATGTCAGTTTGGGGACTCATAGACGCATGTGCAAGGACATAGGAGAGTCAATGCAATGTATGGGAGAAGACTATTAAAAGTACCGCTGGGGATTGCCAGAAGAACAAACAAGTCTGTCTCAGAAGACATGCAAACAGAATGCTCCTTGGAAGCCAGCATGACCAGACTATGTCTCTCATCCTCTGGACATGTTATCAGGAGAGACCAGTCCCTGGAAAAGGACATCATGATTGATAAAGTAGAGGGTCAGCGAAAAAGAGGAAGACACCCCCCCACCCCAAGGAGATGGACCGACACAGTGGCAGGAGCTGTGGGCTCAAGTGTAACAGTGATTGTGAGGATGGCGCAGAGCCAGGCGGGTCACTGTGAGCCGGAACCAACACCACAGCGCCAAGCAGCAACATGCAGTGATTTAAGGAGAAAGAAGACCAGTTTCTTGAGGGATTTTCAGTATTTCATAGGACTTACCTGACTGTGGTAAATTGAGTTCCTTTTTAACTGCAAAGTCATCAGTTCAAACTCACTATCTGCTCTTCCAAAATCCTATACAGGGTCTTTATGAATTGGAATCGACTCAGTGGCACTTACCACCACCAACAAAAACAATGTGGAAAAAAATAAAACAACAACAGTGTGGCCTTTTACCTTGGTTCATTGGAAAAACAGCTTGAGAGATTCCCCTCCAAACCTCTGCCCTTGTTTTCCACTCCAGAGGGGTTGTTACTTTTGTCCCAGTTTTTGTTACTGTAAAGGTTTGTTACCTCTGCCCTAGTTGTCTACTCCAGAGGGTTTATTACTTTTGTCCGAGTTGACTGACATTTTCTGGGCAAACTGTCAACAGTTCGTTTTCGTAATTTTTGTCTGGTCCGGAGCTGTAGCATGTTCTGCAGGGATTGATCTGTGTAATGAGGTGAGGGGTCTGCTCTGAGGGGGGCTGAGAAGAGCTTACCCAGTCTTGCCTACAATGCAGATGAAGAGTCTGTGACCTACCAGGAGGGGATTGGTTGGTTTGTGTCCCAGCAGGGAGGGGCCAAGCTTTTATATTGACATGGAGTTCTGTATAGACAAAGGGGCCTCAAAGAGTTTGTGGAAAAGTGGAATTAAAAGATAATGGAACAAGTTTGATGAGAAGAGATAGGAATAAGATTCATATGATTCAATAGTAATTTTTACCATTCCTAATTGCAACTGTCACAACTGTAAAGGTAGAAGTTTTGTAACAAAAATGGGGAAGTAGTTAATCTTATAGTCCAGGAACAGAGGACCCTGGGACCATCAAGGGAGAAGAGCACGAGCGGAATGCGGGATCCTATCCAGAGAAGCCGCAACAGGAGAGATGGAGGCAGAGATGAGGACATGGAGAGAGGGAGCAGCTGAGGACCCGAGACTCATGGAAAGAGAAAGGCTGTGTGCTGGCGGCCAGGAAGCAGGCTTGCAGCATGTGCCCTGTGGTGGTTTAAATGATTATATATTCCTGAGTGTTTTTGTGTATATCCCTACCACACACACCAAAACAAATACAAACCAGAGGGAATAGAAGCAAATACTGTTGAATGATGATACATGGAGAAGATTGTAATCATTGCAATGAAGCAATGGTATAAAGCCGATGTTCTTCCATGTAAACTAATCCCTCAGTTCACAATAAAAACTTACCTAAAAAAATAAAAAGAGTATAGTTTTTCCACGTGCCTTTGGAAGTCCCTTCATACATATGCAGCCAACCTCACAGAAGTTGAGCAGACTGAAAGAAGCAGGAAGAGGCAGAAGGAAGAAAACACAAGAGGCAGAGAGTGAGAGAGAGGAATTTTTCCATTCCTGTGTACGTGTGTGTGCGTGTGTGCATGCGTGTGTACACGTGTGTGTGTGTGTGTACAAGCGTGAGACGTTCCTGGATCACCAGTCACCAGGAGGTTCTAACTGTTCTACATTCCAGAGACATCTCATTGGATGAATGGATGAGTATTGGATGAATGGATGGTATTGGATGAATGGATGAGTATTGGATGAATGGGTGGGTGGGTATTGGATACATAACTACAGGATATTTTGTTACGCTTTTGCTTTTTCATGAGGTAATTTTTTTAAAAATTAGGTTTTTAGATACAATCTATGTAGAGGAAATAAAGAGAACAACTTCTTGGATGTTTCATTTACATCATTAGAAGATCACTAACAGGACCCTGTTGTTAACAGGTACCACTGGCCTTCAATGACGTGGCTGTGGAGTTCACCTGGGAGGAGTGGCAGCTCCTGGCCCCTGCTCAGAAGGCCCTGTACCGGGACGTGATGTTGGAGAACTACAGCCACCTGGTGTCCGTGGGTGAGGACAGCTCCCCTGTGTCTCTCAGGATGCTCTGTCACTGGCCTTCCCTTTTCTCAGCTGCTGGAACCTGTGGCGTGCCCGTGGGCTTCTCACGTGGAGGTTCCTCTATGGAATCTCTGGTCCCGATAAGTCGGGATAGTCTCCCGACTCCAGAGAGAAAGCTCTTTGTTGTGCACATGTGGACGCTGCTTTGTGAAAGGTAACATCCTGCAGTCCTCCTACACCCGTACCCAATTCAGTGTGTCTTAAGATTCTGTGATTTCCCTTGAACAGGGTGTCCAGTTAGCAAACCAGAGGTGCTCTCCAGATTGGAGCAGGGGGAACCACCATACAGTTTAGAAGAAAGAATTCATAGTCATTTTTTTTCAGGTAAGCAAAGGGAAACTACGTGGGGGGAGGCTGTGGAGGTCACCTCCTAGTCAGAGAAGGTGGCAGAGCTGTGAAGGGTGGCTGTAACTTTATGTATCCCTCTCTTGGGTGGAATTCCTGTTTCTTTGTTGAGTTTGGAGAAAAATATACCCTTTTGTCTATCCTGAGATCAGATCTTTTTTTTTTTTTTTTTGATCTACAAGAGAGCTTCAAAAAGTTTTGTGGAAGAATTAAAGGTAATGCAATTTTTCCATGTAGGTTTTGAAGCCCTCCTGTATACCTTGGTATTTTTCTTTGTATAGTTTAATGTTTCCTATGATTCTCAAATACTTCCCTTCTCCTTAACATTTTCAACCTCCCGTGTTTTGAAATTCTACCTCTCAGTGAAAACTCTTGAGTTCATAACAGATTACTGAGTATAGTCATGCCCTCCCTTGTTGGATAATACTGATTTCCTTTCCTTGCATCTAAGCCACCGTAGACACTGCTTGCCTCCTGCAGTCTTGTTCTTCATGGTACCTTTATGTGTTTCTTTAGCTTCTTCTGCTTTCTATGAAAGAGCTCTGCGTATTTTTGACTTAGAAGACAACTTCCCCTCCTCAATCATTCTGTCAGTCCCAAACACTCATTAACAGTTAGACTTTCAGAGGAAAAAGAGTCCCCAGGGTGAGTTTACTCAGGGGCCTGCACCCAGCTACTCAAGAAAGTACAAGTGTCTATAGTTATCCCTCAGAGACAATATCTCTCAGAGACCATATTGTTTGAGTAACATTAATAGTAAATCCCATAGAATCCCTTTCTTTTCCCCTACATTTTTTTTTCCCCAAACAAGAATGCAGGCTCTAAAAGCGTACGGCATGCTTGTGTAGCCTCAGCACTACCCCTGAACCTGGCACAGTGTTGTTGTTGTTAAGTGCCATCGAGTCAGACCCTACCCATAGCAACCCTGTATAGGATTTCCGAGGAGCAGCTGGTGAGCTTGAACCGCCGACCTGGCAGTTCAAATGGCTTTGCAGTCTGTTGCATTAACCCACAGCGCCACACCAAGACTCTGTACTCGGAACATAGTTGTTATTAAATACGGATTTAGGGACTGAATCTATCATTTCCAAATTTGCATCAAATTGCCCTCCTACCCTATTGTCTGCTGCTCAAAATCATTAGCATGTATTTTATAATCTCTGAATATTTAGAAACACCCAAATATGTATCTCTTTATGTATTATTTAACCTTTTTTTCTCCACTCAGTGCTTTTTTCTTTGGAATTACTTACTGTGTTTTTACCAGTGTGCCAAGAACATTAAATGTGGAGATATTTGTATAGGCTTGTCAGTACAGAGCAACCTCACATGAAAGCACTTTCTAAAAATATCCTTTTCCAAATTAAGATGACGGAAGGATTTATTGTTCTCTTCTTTTCTAGACATCCAGAAAGTTAGTGATCATCTGCCAATGGACATGCCAGAGCAAAGCAGAGTAAATATTATGGGACAATGGCATGATGACAATGGAACTGAAGATAGTGTTCATCGAGACAAAAGTCATTTTGCTAAAAGACAAAATCATAGTACTTTTGACTTACGTGGAAAAACGGTGAAATCAATTTTAACATTAATCAATCAGAGAAGACGATGTGAAATAAAGAACGCTGTCCAGTTTAATAGAAATGAGGAACTCTTTCCCCATGCTAACTCTGAGCAGTTTCCTACTGAATTTAAATCTCCTGATTGTCAGAACTTCAACAACACAAAGTCCCGACTTACGAAGCACCAGGAAAGTCTCAAGGCAGAGAAAGCGCATGTGTGTAGTGAATGTGGGAAAGCCTTCTTCTGGAAGTCTGTGCTCATGAACCATCAGATGCTACACACAGGAGAGAAACCCCATCGATGCAGTCTGTGTGGGAAAGCTTTCTCCAAAAAGTACTTGCTCACGGAGCATCAGAAAGCGCACACTGTAGATAAACCTTATAAAAGCACAGAATATGGCAAAGAGTTTGCCATGAAATCCAAGCTCAACATGCATCAGAAAATTCATAAAGTAGAAAAACCCCATCGCTGTGGTCTGTGTGGGAAAGCCTTCTCCCGGAAGCACATGCTAGCTAACCACCAGAAAGCTCACACGGGAGAAAAACCTTATGAATGCCGGAAATGTGGGAAATTGTTTATCACAAAAGCAGGGCTTAATATGCACCAGAAAACGCACACGGGAGAGAAGCCCTGTGCATGCAGTGAGTGTGGAAAATGCTTCAGCCGCGAGTTAAGTCTTATTGCCCATCAGCGAATTCACAGACAGTTGTCCTATGAAGATACCGACTGTGACAAAGTCCTTAAGACGTCATGCCTCGATATGCATCAGAGAACTCATAAAACAGAGAGAGATTTTCAATGCAGTGAGTGTGGGAAAGTCTTCCATCGAAAGAAACAACTAAATTTACATGAACGAATCCATGCAAGAAAGAGACCTTATGTCTGCAATGTGTGTGGGAAGAAGTTTGCCTCCATGCTTGATCGTTTTAACCATAAATTGATGCACACAGGAGAGAAACGTGTAGATCCTGGCAAGGTGAGGCACAGCTCCTCAAATACCAGCGACCTCATACAGGACAGAAACTCTGTTAATGCAGTGACCGTGCAGATTCCTTCTGTGGCATCCCAGTCTTCCTTAAGCAACAGTGAACTGCTAACAAATAAAAGTATTGTCTTTGTGGGACAGCCTGTTGGCAGATGTGAACTCTTAGGAAGTAACAGAGATTTTGTACAGGACAGAAACTTCATTAACCCAGTGAATGTGGTAGCACCTGCAGTGATCAATTATGTCTTACTGTATGTTCCAGAAAACGTTAGTCTCCAGCTAATCTAGTCAAAGAGTGACCAATCCACATGAGATGAAACAGACATAGAGTAATTGCTATCAATGGTTTACTTATATTTTTAGGAGTTGTTGTTAAGTGCTGTCGACTCGGTTCCAACTCATAACAATTGTGTATAGGGTTTCTGAGGAGCAGCTGGTAGGTTTGAACTACTGACCCTGTGGTTAGCAGTTCAGTGCTTATCTTGCAGCAGCACCAAACCAGGACCCCCTTTAGGAGTCATTGCTGTTGTTAAGTGCCATTGGGCTGATTCCAACTCATAGCAACCCACAGTATAGGGTTTCCAAGGAGCAGCTGGTGAGTTTGAACCTCCGGCCTTGTGATTCATACTGGGTTTGCAGTCCTGTACTTATCCTACAGTGCCACACCATAATTTCTTCTGGAAAAACCAGTTGCCATCAGATTGATTCCAGTTAATGGTGATCTCATGTATGTCATGTTAGAACTGTGCTCCAAAGGTTTTCAGTGGCTAATTTTTTGAAGTACTTTGTTAAACACATTTTGTTTGAGGTATCTGTTGTTGTTGAGTGCCATTGAGTCGATTCCGACCCATAGTGACCCTGTATAGGGTTTCCAAGGAGCAACTGGTTAGCTTCAACCACTGACCTTGCCGTTCAAACAACTTTGCAGTCTGACGCATTAGCCCACAGCGCCACACCGGGACTCAAACCTCCAACCTTTTGATGAAAGCAGTTCCACTGTTTATCCCACCAGTGGGCTCCTGGGATCAGCACTCCTTTTAATGGTACTTAAACATCATAGGAAGCAAAGTTGTGTGTGTGTTTATTTTGTTTTGTGTTTTATCTGCCCATCTCTTACCTCAGTGGGTAGATTATAAATATCTTGATAGTTCTTGTGACTCTTTAAAAATTTTAAGATAAAAAAAATCACTTTCTGATGACACTGGCCAAAGTGTTCGGTACCCACATGTGACTGGTGACTACCAATTTAGCACAGACAATAAGCAAGACTTTATAGTTCATCATATATATGTGTATATGTGTATATATATATATGTATATGTGTGTATATATATATATATATGTATATGTGTGTGTATATATATATATATATATATATATATATATATATACACTGAGAGAAATGCCCATTATGCCTATCATTGCAGAAAGTTATATTGAAGAGCAGTCTTTTGCATCATTTTATATTTCCAAGCACACAGAAAAAAAACCTAGTAAATTGATTTGAAAAGTGAGTGAGTGAAGTAACCTTAAGAATGTTTTGACATGGAAGTGGATGAGTCATTTGAAGGTCGTTTACAGAATGGAATTGTGGCCCAGAAACTTGCTTGAGGCATGGAACAGCGATTCTGAAACTACTTTGAATATATAATAGGATCGAAGAGCTAAGTAAATCAATTCAGATAACAGTAGCCAGAGTTTCCCATTCTCAGAGAAGGCAGTTACAGCTAACCTAGGAGGAGGGTCTATAATGGTCTCAGAGAAGGAAGTTACAGCTAACTTAGGAGGCGGGTCTATAATGGTCTCAGAGAAGGAAGTTACAGCTAACCTAGGAGGCGGGTCTGTAATGTTCTCAGAGAAGGCAGTTACAGCTAACTTAGGAGTTGGGTCTGTAATGTTCTCAGAGAAGGAAGTTACAGCTAACCTAGGCAGAGGGTCTGTAATGTTCTTAGAGAAGGCAGTTACAGCTAACCTAGGCAGAGGGTCTGTAATGTTCTTAGAGAAGG